TCTAGCATGGCTCTTCAGGACATGATATAAAAGTGAAAAAGTAGAACGCTTCTCTAACAGCTTTTTCGATGAATGCATTCGCGCGTCTGTTAGCATCATCCTCGAGCCTTTGTCCTCATCAGCGAAGTCCGCCAACTTACCATGGAACATCGAATGGAGACCTGGGTAGATCGATAGAGTCTATAAGGTTATTTACAAATATAGATAGCAAAACTGCAACCTGCATTTCACAAGCAACTTATGAGCAGGTAAAGTTTGTAATGGTGCAGTAGGGTGGAGGCTTGGTGGTGAGCTGTGAAGCATAAGCGAGGAATCGCATACGTCGAATCGAGTCGTCGAACGTCGAACCTTACCACTGAACCACCACGTGAACGTATGCGATCCTTCACTTACGCTTCGAAGCTCACCACCAAGAGTTCACCCTACGCAACATTACAAACTTTACCTGGCCATAAGTTGCTTCTGAAAGCAGGTTGCAGTTTTGCCATCTGTATTTGTAACCTCATAGACTCTATTGATCTACTCACTTCTCCATTCAAAAATCCATGGTAAGTTGGCAGACTTCTTGGTGGGTGCTTGTGGGGCATGCCACGCTATAATGCTTCACAACGCAGTTTGTTTGCTGATGTGCCAGCAATCTCGTAAACTTCAGCCGCATGTTTAGTCTTCTTTAAAAATTACTTGCACTGTGACTGAAGGAGAAAAACGTACGTGCCGGGAAAGACACGTCGCTTATGCCGAAATCGGCTAGCTTCACAACACCATTGCCGGTGACCAGGATGTTCGCCGGCTTCACATCCCGGTGGACAATTCTCTTGCTGTGGCAATACTCGAGGGCGCTCGCCGTCTGCTGTATGATCTGAAAAATAGTGCTTAAGACGCTCGAGTCGAGAGCGAAGAGATGACTCCATCAATCAAATCAATTTCGTACCAGAGAGGCCGACAGCTCGTCGAAGCGCCCTTTCCTGCGGAGGTGCTTCTGCAGTGATCCACCCTGAGTAAGTAACTATGCACTTGAGGTAGGGTCGGAGGGAGTTGAGCAAAGATCTTAAACACTCACCGCAGCGTACTCGAGCACTAGAATCACGGCGTCGTCGCGTTCAAAGTTGCCGAGTAGCCCGAGTACGTTCGGGTGTCTGAAATAGAATGTGATCTACTGGGATTCATTGCTCTATTGATGCCGGAGACAACTGTACTGATTGACTCTCTTCGGATTCAGTATGGTTCAGAAGGACTGCCCCACTAAAAGTGAAGGGGTCAGGCAGTAAGATTTCAACTGCGTCAATGGCTTTTTTCTTCACTCGCAACCATCATATTACCTATCCACGCCTAAAAAGGATCAGGGCTCACAGGGACACAAGTGGTCAAGTGCAGTACCCCCCCCCCCCCTTGTGCTGCGCGGTCATCACACATGGCAAGGCCAATAATAGGAGGAGGCCACATCTGTTTTTGCGTGAGGTACCGACGATTAGGGCAGCTTTGATTTGATCCTCCCAAACGGGCTGTTAGAATCTCAGGGCCTAAGAAAGGAGAAAGCTGTTGGGGGCTGGATGACGAGTAGAGACCAGTTTCATCCTATCTTCACATTAATGATCTGATGGTGCAAGCCAGATATGCAGGCCAGTTATGAAGGCTTCGGAATGATCGAGACAAAGAAAGCTGCTTATCACACGTCGCCAACGAAACTGCGTGAGAAGGTGTTTCCCAGAACATGCGAAAAGCATACCACTCCATTATCCCTGGGCAGAGTAGGCGTGGCATTTGAACATGGCACGAAACTGCTTACGTGCATGAACACGGATTTCCGGTTCTGGGACTAAATTTCAGTATTGTTTTTTGTGTTGGACAGAGACACGAAACTAAGTTGGCGTCAAGATGAATAATATCTCGCCAGAAGCATAGGCCACCTTCAGATAGGTCTGAAAACATCGGCCCCGCCTACCCGATTCTCAGGGATTTCGGTATACAGGGGGGGGCCAAAAAAAAGTCATTTTGCCTCCATGACTTTCAAGGCGCTATAAGTTACACTTTATTAAATTTTTATCGGACATTTTTACTACCATATTAAAGAGCACATTAAATACTATAATGATACTCTGCTCCCGCTTGCGACAGCCTTCTGGGAGTGAGCGCATCCGAAGATCGGCCGCGCGAAAGTGTGTGGGTACCGCAGTTGAGCGAGATCGTTGATTTCTCCGCCACTGAAGACCACCCTGTTGAGCTCCGCCCGAACCGAGTAATTGAGGGGGTTTAGTTCAGGACCCCCGCTTAAATACTAGATCTTTTCCAGGTACTCAACGTTCTTCCATTCCGAGTAGGCGGGAGTTTTTCCAAAACCCTTTGATTCCATGTGGTGGCACCCAAACCTGTAGCAGCACAAGGTCTCCAAGAAGGTACGGGCGACCACATGTAGGGAGGATATTCTTCTCGAGTTACTTGATGTAACCGCCAGCGCTCACCTTCAGTCGGGGTCTACAAAGAAAATATCGGTCTTCCCCTTTCCAGGTACACCGGTCCATACCATCAACTCGCGCCTCGGCGAATACGGTGAAGATGATGTCCTAGACCGTAGCGACGTTGCCGTAGCTGCTCGATGTGGGAGGTCTTGCAGATCAAGAGTACTGACCTCCAGGTAGCTATCTGTGGATGACTTCATTCAAGAAGTTTCGCAGCTGTTTGGAGGCGACGTGAATTCCAAAGGTGTTCTCCAGTCAGGCCGCGACTGGAGATGACTTCATATTTGGCGTACATGAAGGCGATTGGCGGCAGCCGTGCTCCCAGCTTATAGGGGAAGATCCTGGGTAATCTTCCGCCCTGGTACTCATATCCACTTCCTCTGTCTGGCTGCGCGAAAACTTCGCTCATATGTGACTCGGCCAGAATGACTTTTTTTTTTGGCCCCCCCCCTGATGCCTTGGCGATGTGGGCTCCCACTAACACGCACTTTGCCATGAACATTGATTTGCACGAAAACAGCGGTTTGAAAAACACGGTCAAAGACTGACTGCCTCAATTCCCACTCCCACAACCTGCGAAGACAACGTATCAACAAGCTCGACGAGGTAGACGTATTCAAGACGGAATTGCAAAAGTTCCTAGAAAAGGCATTATCTTTTCTGGGTCGTCATCGACGACTTGAACGCCGAGTCGGTCCAGAAGAAGTCTAAACAAATTCACATGTGTGGAATGAAATGAGTAGGGCGAAAAGCCGTCCGGGTTATCGTTTTGGCGAACACTATGCATGCTGATTCACGGACTGAATCCTTGCTCCCTATTCTGGATATAGGAGTTTTCTGGTGGGCAGTGGGTAACGACTACGTCGTCTTCAATCCTGAAGATTGACTCAGCGACTGCGACGTTCTCCTTTTTCTACCGCGATCGGACTTCCTTCCTTTGCTTGAGATTCCGTTTTGATGAGAGAAAAGAACGCTTTAGAGAAGCAAAGATCCAAGGCTGTCAGTGAATGAACCACTTCACTTCTTCCTTCATCACACCCTTCGTCTATTCTTCATTTTCTTCTTCTTCTTCAATTTCTTCTTCTTCTTCTTTTTCGTCTTCCTCTTCACTGGCTTTTGAAAGATGTCGCTATCAAAAACGGAAAGTAATATAAATGACCTGTTCAGCTCATTCACAACTTCTCTGAGAAAAGTAAGGGGAGACCACCAAGGTCACCAAGCTGCACCTATTTTTGACACAGCCGAGTTGATTTGCTGAATATTCGCAGAGCCAGCGGCAGCTACATACTCATTGGCGTAGAACTTGCAAAACTATACACTGAAGGAGGGCCTCAACAAGAAATGGAAACGGAACAGGATCTGCAACGCTCGCCGCCACTCCACTTGCCATCGTAACACCTGAAGCAGGAAAAAACACGTCGTTTCTTCAGTTCACCGTCCCGAAATCTGACAGATGTGCCTGTGAAGAATCGCGCAGTAAAACATATAGGAAACTCGCAAGATTAGAGCATTTAAAGATAAAGCTAGCGAGGTTCCCTCAGTAATAGGGAGGTAAGTGCAATACCTCAGCTCCGCATGGATCATGACCTCCATTTCGAGCATTGCCAACTTGTCGTCGTCCTCGGGCTTCTTGCACACCTGGAAGATAATGAAGATAACGTGTAGCTCCTCTGAGTTAATTCCGAGAAGAAATGTCGCTCATCCCTGCTGGCTCTCGTCCAGTTCAAGATTATATTGTCCTTGGTGCTTACCTTGATGGCGACAGGCTCTCCTGTGCGCCTGTCTATTGCTCGGAAGACGGTGCTCATTGCACCGTTTCCGAGCACGCGCATTGAGTTCGAAGTCCGAGGGCGACCTGCAGTACAGCGCAATAATAAACGTAGGGGTGTTGCATCAATAAATCAAAGAAGAACATCAACAAACGCACGTGCACGCTTGTCCTGCGGCAGTTATCAGACTGGAGCTGGCGCTGCTCATAATGGCCCACCCTCCTCTTCCCACAGTGCTGACAGTGCTCTAGAAGCAGCTTGTATAAATGGCAAAAGACGCTACAATTCCTGGTGAGGTCGCAAATCTTTCAAGAATGGACGCAGAATTAAATTGTCAAATGCATCATACATTCGCAATCAATAATCTTTTCTATTATCGTGTTCAGTGCTTTAGAAAACAGCACATGTAACGGGATAATTTCACTCCACTTAGTGCCCCACGGAAAATTTGGATTTTGGTGCATCTTTCTTTTTTTCAATTTAGAACTATTGAGGCAGGGTGCGTAGCCTAATTATAGTGTGGACCGAAATCGCTGTCACTCAGGCACTCAGTTCATGAGCAGTTCCCGTGCTCAAGCAAGCGGTGAGCGTCCTTTCTTGAACAGCTAGTCTGGTCTTCAATCTATAGTCACCGTCCACCTTCTTGGTTCACGTTAGGCAACGGAGGCGTCGTGGCACTAATAAGTGGCAGTTCTGACGTCGACCCCCCCCCGGCAAAAACCAGGGGCCTATTTTATCATGACTTCACCGGGGTTTTCGTTGTGGGTTCTATTTTATCATGACTTCACCGCATTTTTTTTTGTATTATTTCACAGTTTAATGGTATTAGCATTGGATGAGTCTGGAAAGCGACTAGTGAGACAAAGGCGGCCTGATATCGCTTGTTGGCATAACAAGAGGATCAGGAGCTGGTCCTGAAAGGCTACAAAATGCTTTTCCAAGACTTTTATCCCTTCCCGCTTTCCTAGGCAGTCAATTAGTGATAAAAGATTTGTAATTGTACGCAACCATCCACAATATGCAAAGGCACAGTATGTCTTTGGACAGGACGTCAATCTAACGTTCAGTAGGGAGTTTCAAGTGTGGGTATATGACTCAATCTTAGTAAAATGCAGATTTGAAGAACGGTGCTACATGACTAAACTCACTGCGATTTGCTGTTAAACACTGCTCGCCCTTGAAATAATAGAGCACGTCAGCAGCAAAGATAGCCCGCTCCAGAAAATCTAAACATATGTATTATACATACAGGTCATATCTGAACCATTAGCATCAAAGTGTTTGCTGAATGTACTACGTCCGCACGTTCTTATTTCGCGTTTATCCCGCTCTGCAGCAGGGTCCGCTCTTCTCACTTCACTACGTCTCTTCTGGTAGGATGCCTGATCAGGGTGGGCACTAACTATCTTAGAGATCAGGCATGCAGTGCGTCTAGCCCGCGTTGCTTGGGACGTCTTTTAGGTCGTTTGCCGAGCACCTCAAGCTGGAGAGCGGTGGTCGCGTTCGCGCGGAGTACGTGACCATACCATCGGATACGAGACTCTCGCATTTTGTCAACTATAGAAGCCACGCCGAATTTCTTACGTCTTCTATGCATGTGCGTGACTCCAACTGCCCAACGTAGCATTTTCATGTCCATCACGCTAAGACGGGTTTTTAACTTCCCTGGTTACAGGCCAGCACTCAGTCTTGTACAGCGCTACTGTTCTGACCACAGTTCTATGGACCCTCGATCCAAGGCGCTTTGGTATGGTCTTGTCACAGAGAATTCCAGTCATCGAGCGCCATTTCGCCCATGCTGCACTCACACGAGAAACCACCTGTGACTTCAGACTGCCATTAAACACAGTTTCTGATCCAAGATACTTGGAGGCTCTTATGCGTGTGAGCTCGATGCCACTGAACCTAATGGAATCGGATTCGTTAGTGTGGCGTCGTAAAAAAGTAATGGTTTTTCTAAATGTTCAACCCGCAAGTCCAAATTCCTCAGGCGGATTGCGACCAAGCCTTTGCCATCCTAGCTGCTCGGATTGGCACTTATCTTCGCTGGCAGCATCATCTGCGTAGTGAAATGTCCAAGGACTTGGTTTTTCTGGAGATCTCGCGAGATTTATTCATGATAACCACGCAAACGAGTGGGGAGAGCGCAGATGATATACCCTGATCGTGATAGAAAATTCCTGCGGAATGCGTTGGTGCTTGCACGCGGCTCTTCGGGATGGGATGTAGGATGCGCACCCACTCAATAAGCTCTTCACGAATGGATATGGCATATTTAAAACCTGCGGTTAATGGACCTTTGTTTATAATTCCTAACTTAGTTCAAATTTCCCGAAATTCACGAGAAGCGACTGCCTATCAAATAACGAATTTACAAATGGACTGAAACATACAAGAAAAACAACTAGTAGATCCAGAGCATATCATTAATACTATTAGCACTTGACTCGTAATATTCTATAAACAAATGCTTTCATAAAATATTCAGTCAGAGCTCCTTATAGAGTACAGATACGAAGTGAGATTGGATCTATCTTTAGAAAATGACACTCAATCACCATTCCTATGAAATAGAACTAGAAAAGAAGATGAACCAAATGATGATAAACACACATGTGAAGACCAGGCTGAAAATACAAAACGATTGAAAAGAAAAACTTACGGTACGGTACCGACCATTTGGTACACTATCTAGGGTTATACCTCACTAACTTCATCTGCCAAACCATTCAGTCAGTTTCACCTTACTCCCCATTTTGTGGGGTTTTTCGTATGCGTTTTGAGGATTTTTGCCCTCGGCACCGTTCACTTCGGCGAACGCCCCGCCCGTCAGGGGTGTGCTTCACTGATTTCGTCCGCCAACTGATTGCCTATCATTTGCCACTTCTCCCACTCTCCGAGCTCTTTTGAAACCAAACTACGAATTTTTGAAATTTTCGTAGCAAGCACCGCCCACCTATAGAGCGCCCCGCCCAAAATGGGTTTGTCTCACTCATTTCGACCGCCAACTGATTGCCTATCATTGCCACATTTTCCACTCTCCGGGCTCATTTGGAACCGAGTTACGAATTTTTGAATGTTTTGTGGCAAGCACCGCCCACCTGTGGAACGCCCGCCCACATGGCCATCACTCATTTCGTCCGCCAACCGGTTGCCTATCGTTTGTCACTTTTTCTGCTCTTGGAGCTCTTTTGGAACCAAACTACGAATTTTTGAAATTTGTAGCTCACAACTGTGCGCACGCCCCGCCCACAGTGGACGGAGCCTAGCTTAGTTCATGTGTGTTCCGTACATCTTGGCCCATGCCCTACCCAACCCACCCTTGACCCGCCTCTCAACTCTGTGCTCTTTCTGGTAGTTCCGAATTTCCGGACAGACAGACAAAGAGACAGACAGACAGACAGACAGACAGACAGACAGACAGACAGACAGACAGACAGACAGACAGACAGACAGACAGACAGACAGACAGACAGACGTCGCCGTTTATATATAGTTAATATTATCTTTAATCTCCGTCTTGGGCCCCTGTGAAACGGAGACTGAACTACACTGCTCCACACTACGATAGTTCCACCCATAAATCTTACAAAATCCCGTCTTAGATGACGTTTTCAGAATCGTCCCCATATAAAAAATGTGGTAATTACCAATACCAGTTCGCATGTCAACACCAAAAACTGACTTGAAAAAGATAAGTGTTTCTTTCTTCATTTTTTGGAAAAGTGGTCACTTTGAAATTTTCAAAAAATGATAGTTCCACCTAATGTTTTTTCTCGCTGCGACTAATTTTTGTTGGGTAAAACTGTCTCACCACTGTGATTCATTGCCTTTTCTAGGCTATGGCAAGAGAAAATTTTTCATCGTACTCTGAAAAAGGACAGATAATTGCAATGACTGTCCGTCCGAACCGTCAATTCGCATGGGATTTGGGCTACACTCATCATGTGATCAATAATTTGTCAAGCCATACTTGCATAGTGGATTTTAGAGGAGGCTCTCTAGGCGCTCTACTTGGCTATTACTTTGTTTCTCCGATTTGAGATAATAGCGCCTATATTTTAAAAGGAGCATTCATAATTCTGGAGTATGTTGCCGAAACCGATTGCGAAGTAAAAATTAGCTGATTGGCAGCGGTGTCCTACTGCTTGATCTGTCCTGTTCTTTTCTAGTTTTTTCGTCCAAGTTGTCTGTTTTGCTAAGTAAAAAAATGTTCAACTGAGACGGACTAGACGGGAAATAGATCCTGGCACAATCTTAGACAAGGGAAGCGTCATTTCTCCAGGAGGAAGAATGATCGGGGAGATGTTGCTTGGGCTGCCTTAACATCAGCGAGACATCTAAAATTGTGTTTCATTTCAAGAAAAATGAAGTTTTTCGATTATCTAAACGTCATGCAACAAGGTCTCCTTCTGGCGTAAATTCGGCAAAAATCTCGTTGTTTTTTAAAGAGCAAAATGATGCACCCAATTCATGCTAGTCGGAACACTCAAGCGCGGTTCAGTCGTCATTAAATCGCTTTTTTGCCCTGGCCAGCGAGTAGCCCCTACTTAAACCCAATCGAGGATGTGAGGGGCTTCATGGTGCGTATGATCCATGAGAACAATGCACAATTCCACATTGTCCGTGAGCTTAGGGAGTCAATCCTTGATGCATACCACCATGTTGGCCAACTACTGAAAATTTCTAATCGAGCATGGGCAACCCTATTTTCCAACTCATTCGGAGGAATGGACTTCCATTTGACTTACTGAAATGAAAATGTAGATTTGTTTAGCGGAATACCATTTTGCTTCATTGCCAGAGTGACCAATTTTCAAAAGATTGAAGCAAGAAAAAGCTCTTTCAAGTTAAGGTATGATGTTGGCGTACGAATTGACGTTGGTATTACTACATTTTCTATTGAGGGCATTTCTGCGAACGTGGCGCATAATGGGATTTTGTGAGATTCATCGGTGTACCTATAGTCATGATTCGCAGTGTAGGACTAAGCCAAGAAGCGTCAGTCTCCATCCTCCCAGACACGAGTCCGAATCATGCAAAGATCTTAGGGCCCCGCACTTGCATACTGTAGGTAGTAATAGCGAACCCATAGTCGCTAAAGGACTGTGATAATAATAATGCAAAAAAAGGCATGGAGAACATCCTAAGTAAGGACGTGGCTGCCTCTCTAGACAAGTTCTACGGAGCCAGCAAAGCGGCATCCTGCCCCGTGAGTGGAGGTAGCCTGCTCACTTTTGTTGGGTGGAGCAAGTCGAGGAGTCGTTAGAATTTCCTTTTTTAAGGGTTCGTTACCTGCTGTGGGGTCGCAAAAGCAGGATAATCCTCGAGAATGAGGGCCAGAATATTTGTACAAGGAATGACGCCTACGAATTGAATCGTGGGAACTGTCTTGGAAGGCATGGGTGTGGACTGTCGACGAGACACCCAGCTAGTAACATTCCCCATTAGCGCCTCCTCCTCTTCGACGCTGGTACCCGGTTTAAAATGGTAGCAAGGATGCTATACAGTGGGATGGCGACAAAGCGAAGTGAAACGATCAAACCTGCAGAAAAAAGCTTTCAATCTACACTGCTCAGAAAGCAGTTTTGGACGAGTTTCCCGTTAACGTCTTGCCGATTACTGGTACGGCAGATACGGCCGCATATCTACCCAGATATCCATGCAGTACCGCGGCCGTTCATATCTTCCCCGCCCTTCACTTCATATTTCAGTTCACAGTTAAAGCAATACGAGTACCGGGTACAGTAGTCCATTTGTGGGTGGGCGTCGGGGTCGGTGTGTTACCGCTGTGATAGGGCGCTCGGACGTAAGAGTCCTAGCACGCCCTTCCAAGATTGTTGTGGCAGTTGCCTTTAGTTAATTTTTGTTGCAAAATTCCCACGAACTCCATGTATGCGAGACCATAAGAAAGCAATCAAGGTGTGTGTTGTCATATGAAGATTGCTCTATACAAATTTTTGCATCACACCCTCCTCTTGCAATGAGAAAGAAACGAAACTGTCTGACCTTCCCCCAAACGAATATCATTGCTTTCTACTTTTAGGCGATCAGCAGCAGTGGCCACCTGCGGGCTGAACGCTTCACTGAGCAATGACACCGTGAATTTGAGTCGAGAAACTTTTTTACACCCTACTAGTCGGTGTAACCTTCCAGTTACAAAGCTTATCGCTGCGAGTGGCTAATGTGCAAGTGCTCCTTGGTGTGATTTTGCTGTAGTTTTTTCGTAGAAGAGAGTAGCGTTTCAATACAAACTGTACTCTCCTCCCCCATCAGGAACTGTTCTCTGTGGCGGTACGCGAGCAGCGGAAGGGCTGCAGTACAAAGTTCACTCTCGTGGTTTGAAAGTGGAAATGGTATCGAGAATGAGGGGATGTTGATACCAGAGTGCCGTTTGGGACTTCCTTCCGCGCTATCAAGATGCAGCTAAGTGCGTCGACATCGCAACTGCGCACACAACTACTAAGGCAGTAGGATATGAACATAAGTGCGAGAGCGCCGCGCGTTTGGCTATGATTAGGCGTGTGCTCGGACGTGCGGCTACCCTCCAGCCCTCTTCTTGTGCAATATTGTTATGAGATTGTGAGAGCTTACTGCGGCAGCGATCCATTCTCGACTGTAGCAAGGATAGGGATCCTCATGAGTTATAGTTTTTTTTCAAGAATGTCAGCAATGCTCCAACTTAATACTTGTAACAAAGCATTCTAGTGCTATCTGCTCAGATTCTGCCTGTATGTACATATTCAGCCACTTTAGACAACAGCGCCACATGTGACGGGAGTAATTTTCACTTTACCTTACGTGACAGTATGAGAAATTGGATTTATTTCTACGGTTCCTTTACCTTTTCTTCAATTTATACTTAAGTGTTCTCTGACGACAAGTCTGGACTTGGGCATCGAATGCCTTTAGATAGTGGAGGACTTTGCAGGCGGGATGCGTAGCCTGATTTGATCACACAAGACAGATCAAAATCGCTCGCGATGAGAGACGTAACTCAAGGACAGTCTCCGTGCTAGAGCAGTTGGCAAAAGTCCTTCCTTGTACATGGTCTGACCCTCGGCCTCTGAGATTACTCCATTTTCGCAGCTTCCCAGTGAGCAACAAAGCGCCGTGGCCTGCATAAGTGGCAGTGCTGACGCTCCCTCACTCGCCCACCCGCCAAAAACCAGCCATGAGCTTTTCTGTCATGAATTCAGCTTTGACACAGAGTTTTCCCGTGTTTTTCAACGTTAGTTGATATTAGCATGGGATGAGTCTAAGAAGCGACAACCGATTAAAAGGCGGCCTGATATCGCTTGCTGGCACAAACGGAGGACTAGGAGAATTGGTTGTGCAAAGCTGCATGGTCCTTTTAGAAGATGTGTCCCGTAGACAGTCAATTAGCGACAAAAGTTTCGTTATTGAACGCCGCGATCCACAATATACAATGGCAGGGTCCGTGTTTTACCAGAGACGCCATGCCAACGTTCAACAGTGACTTTTGGGAGGATATGACCTAATCTCAGTGAAGTGCAGATTTAAAGAACGGTGCTACATGACTGAACTCAGCATTATCGATGTTCCAACACTAGGTGTGCTCGACAGCACTGATTATGTCATCAGCCATGGGAGGCCACTCCAAACGCTTGGTGTCCCGGCTCCATCTAAACAGATGTACATACAGGCAGGATCTGAGCAGATAGCACTAGAATGCTTCGTTACAAGTATTAAGTTGGAGCATTGCTGACATTCTTGAAAAAAACTATAACTCATCAGGATCCCTTTCCTTGCTACAGTCGAGAATGGATCGCTCCCGCAGTAAGGTCTCACAATCTGAAAACAATATTGCACAAGAAGAGGGCTGGAGGGTAGCCGCACGTCCGAGCACACGCCTAATCATAGCCAAACGCGCGGCGCTCTCGCACTCATGTCTCCTATATACCTCTGCCTCTGTGTTGTTGCGCAGTCGTGATGTCGACGCAATAGCTGCATCTTGATAGCGCGGAAGGAATCCCAAACGGCACTCTGGTATCACCTCCCCTCATTCTCGATACCATTTCCACCTTCAAACCACGAGAGTGAACTTTTGTACTACAGCCCTCCCGCTGTCCTTCGCGTATAGCAAAGAACAGTCTCTGGGAGGGGGGGGGGAGTGCAGTTTGTATTTGAAACGCTACTTCCTACTACGAAAAACTACAGCAAAATCACACCAAGGGAGCACTGCCAACATTAGCCACTCGCAGCGATAATCTTTGTAACTGGAAGGTTACCGACTAGTAGGGTGTAAAAAAGTTTCTCGACTCAAATTCACGGTGTCATTGCTCAGTGAAGCGTTCAGCCCGCAGGTGGCCACTGCTGCTGATCGCCTAAAAGTAGAAAGCAATGATATTCGTTTGGGGGAAGGTCAGCAAATATTTCGCTTTCTTTCTCATTGCAAGAGGAGGGTGTGTGCAAAAATTTGAATAGAGCAATCTTCATATGACAACACACACCTTGATTGCTTTCTTATGGTCTCGCATACACGCAGTTCGTGGGATCTTGCAACAAAAATTAACTAAAAGCAACGGCCACAACAAATCTCGAAGACGTGTAGGACAAAAACGCCCGGCAGATTATAGCGCCCTAACGCCCAGCCACAAATGCGTACGTACGCTGGATACTCGTATTGCTTATCTGTGAACAAAAATATGAACGAAGGAATTAATATTAGCGGTCGCGGTACTGCGAAATGATATCTGGGTGCATATGCGGCCGTATCTGCCGTACCAGTTGTCGGCAAGACGTTATCGGGAAACTCGTCCAAAGCAGCTTTCTGAGCAGTGTAGATGAAAGCTTTTTTCTTGGCATTGATCGTTCACTCTCGCGTTGTCGCCATCCCACTATAATCGCATCACTTGCACCCGATTTCAAAGCGGGTACCAGCGTCGAGCAGGAGGGAGGCGCTAATGGTGAATGTTACCAGTTGGGTGTCTCGTCTACAGTCCACGCCCATACTGTCCTCATCATTACGTGACGTCGAGGCGTGTCCACCATAGGACGCGCACACTGTTGAAGCGTCGTCTGAGCCTTTTTTGAAACGCGCGTATGCGACAAAAAGTGGTAGAAAACGAGTAATACGAAGGATATAATACAGTAATGTCACTTGCCCGCTTCAACAATTGGTGCAGAACGACTCGGTACCGCGCCAACGCAGCCGCACTGACGACGCCCCGAACAGTCCTTAATGATGAGAGTACCTTTCAAACAGTAATCCCCGAACGATTCAACTCGTGGCGTCATCCTTGTACAAATATTCGGCCTCATTCTCGGAGGAGTATATCGCCGCTTTGCGACCCCACGGAGTAAGGAACGGGCCCAGCTAAAACAAAGGAATCTAACGACTTTCGAACTGCTCCACCAACGAAAGTAGAGACGTACCCGTCATGCACGGGTCGTTTATTAACACCGTATTTTCCTGCTGTTAACATGATAATTGGGCAGGAGGCTGAGGACGCGAGAGAGGCGAGTGTAGTGGAGGGCAGGGGCCGGGCGGAGGATACCGTCGTTGCGGGCTCGCGTTGAGGGGCCGGAAGGGAGGAGGCAGCCAGTCCTTAAGAGTATATTCTCTGCCTTGTTTTTGTCACTATTTATGGTCAGGGCACTGTAGCGACTATGGTTCTTATGACTGGACCGGTATGCCAGAGCAAGTGCGGGGTAGTTGTATTCATTGTGTTTATTTTTTGGATTTTATTGTTTATTATCTAAGGGAATTCTTTGCATGGCCTGGACTCGGTATGCGGTATGAGGAACTGGTGACTGCCTCGTGGTTTGCTGTCGCGACATGTTTCTGTGAAAGCGAGTAATAGTATGGGGACTGAGGCACCGATAGATTCTCAGCCTCGGCGATCGAGCAGGGATTGCCGGGGTTCGGGTCCCTATAGCCACGACAATTTGAATTGTGCTATTGTCTCATGGATCATACGCACATGAAGCTCCTCACTAACTCTCGATTTTGAGTTAAGTAGCTACTCGCTGGCTAGGTGCCCCCACAAAAGCGATTAAAATGACGACTGAACTGCGCTGAGTGTTGCCGACTAACAGAATGGGTGCAATTTATTTTGCTGTTAGAAACAAACAGACCTTTTGCTCGAAGTTTACGGCATTCAGATCTTGGTGGCATGACGTGGAACAATCGAAAGCTATCTTTGGCTGAGAACAAACACAATTTAGACGTCTCGTTAGTCTAAAGGCAGCCCAACAACATCTTCCCCCGATCATTCTCTCCTGGAGAAATACCTTCCCTTGTCTAAAGACGTGCCAGAATGCTATTTACGTCGGTCCGTCCGCAGTTGAATTTTTTTCTATCTAAAAAGACGACTTGGAGAAAAACTGGAAGGACGAAGACAGACAAGCAGTGGGGCACCGCTGCCATAAGCTAATCTTACTCCAGTCGGTTCGGCAACATCTCCTATCAAAGTCGATTCGGTTTTCGCGATGCCTCTCTGTCAGAAACGGTGCCTTCCACATTTTCCTTCTAGAATGACTCGACTTAATCTCAAAATACATAGCCAAGCAGTCTCCTTCGAGACGTTGAGCTTCAAAGTTGACTTTATTTTCGGGCCCGACATTGTAGAATTTGATGCTTCTTTCAAAATACGGCGCTTATCTCGATCAAAGAGCAAAGTAAGCAAAGTAAGACGCTCAGAGGAGCTCCTCTAAAATCCATATCCTGCGGGATGCTTGACAAAATTATTGATTACATGATGAGTGCAGCCCAAATCCCATGCGAATTGACGGTTCGACAGACATTGCAATTAGCGGTCCTTTTTCAGAGTACGATAAAAAATAATCCCTTGCCATAGCCTAGAAAAGGCAATGAGTCACAGTGGTGAGACAGTTTTACCCAACAAAAATTAGTCGCAGCGAGAAAACATTAGGTGGAACTATCACTTTGTGAAAATTTCAAAGTGGCCACTTTTCTAAGAAAACGAAGAAAAAAACACTGTTTTTTCAAGTTAGTTTTTGGTGTACATGCGAACTAGTATTGGTAATTACCACATTTTCTGTATGGGGACGATTCTGAAAACGTCATGTAAGACGGGATTTTGTAAGATTTATGGGTGGAACTATCATAATGTGGAGCAGTGTAGTTCAGTCTCCGTTTCACAGGGGCTCAAGACGGAGATTAAGAGATAGATAGACTAAGAGAGAAGAGATACTTGGATATCCTTTATTTGTGCTTTCAGTAAGGATGTGAAGGATTATTGAGTCGCATCGTTGTGAATCGACTGAACTAAGTTTTTATATAAATATTTATTTTAATTTCATAGTAAAGACGATAACTTCTGTGATAGTTTCTAGAGGCGTTTGATTATGTTCTTATCGAAGTAATATATAGAATTGTATTGAAACACTTAAAAAGTGGCTTTTGAGATTTCAACAAGTATAGTGAAACACTTACAAGGGAAGGATGGTAGGTCGAAGTGGCCATTTGAAATGAAATGTATACCGGCTGAAAGGTCTTCGGACGGGATTACGAAACCGTCTTCCATATCTGCTGCGGACCTCCCAGAAAGAAGTTACGGAGCTTTTTAGGGGGAGAATATTCGCATTCAGTACGAATTGGCGGCGTAAGGCTGATGTGATG